TCATGCCTGTCCATGCAATAGAATCCTACTCCGATGCTTCCTGCCTACAACAAAATCTCTTGTATAGTTAGTTTTGCATACTAAGTCTAGCATAGTTCGTTTTGTTATTGCGTTGATTCAATCACAATTCCCACAGCAAAGGGAAACGTTGATAGTGTTAACTAAAGGGGAAAACTCTAGAAAGTTGAGTGACGTTCAATCTCAAGCTTGTACCGTCAAATGTACCGTCAAATCTTGGGTGAGAACCTCCTTCCCTCAGCCAGGGCATTGGAAATGGGTCGTGGATGGGTATTCCAACATGACAATGACCCAAAACACAAGGCCAAGGCAACAAAGGAGTGGCTCAAGAAGAAGCACATTAAGGTCCTGGAGTGGCCTAGCCAGTCTCCAGACCTTAATCCCATAGAAAATCTGTGGAGGGAGCTGAAGGTTCGAATTGCCAAACGTCAGCCTCAAAACCTTAATGACTTGGAGAAGATCTGCAAAGAGGAGTGGGACAAAATCCCTCCTGAGATGTGTGCAAACCTGGTGGCCAACTACAAGAAACGTCTGACCTCTGTGATTGCCAACAAGGGTTTTGCCACCAAGTACTAAGTCATGTTTTGCAGAGGGGTCAAATACTTATTTCCCTCATTAAAATGCAAATCAATTTATAATATTTTTGACATGCGTTTTTCTGGATTTTTGTTGTTGTTATTCTGTCTCTCACTGTTCAAATAAACCTACCATTAAAATTATAGACTGATCATGTCTTTGTCAGTGGGCAAACTTACAAAATTAGCAGGGGATCAAATACTTTTTTCCCTCACTGTATGTGATTTTTTTAATGGTGTAACTATGTGATGTTTCTTGTGAAACTGTGAGGGTTTTTCTGAGTCTGTTTGGAAACTGTTGTGACAGATGGATTTGGTCATTTGGGGAAGAAGGGCTATGTTGTTTGGATAGAGCTGATTGATGAGATTAACCAAACAAACATTATGCCCATTATGCCCAGTGGCTTGCGAAATTATTCACCCCCCTTGGCATTTTTCCTATTTTTTTGCCTTACAACCTGGAATGAAAATATATTTTGGGGGGGTTTGTATCATTTGATTTACACAACATGCCTACCACTTTGAAGATGCAAAATATGTTTTTGTGTGAAACATACAAGAAATAAGACAAAGAAACTGAAAACTGATAACTATTCACCCCCCAAAGTCAATACTTTGTAGAGACACCTTTTGCAGCTGCAAGTCTCTTGGGGTATGTCTCTATAAGGTTGGCACATCTAGCCACTGGGATTTTTGCCCATTCTTCAAGGCAAAACTGCTCCAGCTCCTTCAAGTTGGATGGGTTCCGCTGGTGTACAGCAATCTTTAAGTCATACCACAGATTCTCAAATTGGATTGAGGTCTGGGGTTTTACTAGGCCTTTCCAAGACATTAAAATGTTTCCCCTTAAACCACTCGAGTGTTGCTTTAGCAGTATGCTTAGGGTCATTGTCCTGCTGGAAGGTGAACCTCCGTCCCAGTCTCAAATCTCTGGAAGAGTGAAACAGGTTTCCCTCAAGATTTTCCCTCTATTTAGCGCCATCCATCATTCCTTCAATTCTGACCAGTTTCCCAGTCTCTGCAGATGAAAAACATCCCCACAGCATGATGCTGCCACCACCATGCTTCACTGTGGCGATGGTGTTCTCTGGGTGTTGGGTTTGCGCCAGACATAGCGTTTTCCTTGATGGCCAAAACGCTCAATTTTAGTCTCATCTGACCAGAGTACCTTCTTCCATATGTTTGGGGAGTCTCCCACATGCCTTTTGGCGAACACCAAACGTGTTTGCTTATTTTTTTCTTTAAGCAATGTCTTTTTTTCTGGCCACTCTTCCGTAAAGCCCAGTTCTGTGGAGTGTACGGCTTAAAGTGGTCCTATGGACAGATACTCCAATCTCCGCTGTGGAGCTTTGCAGCTCCTTCAGGGTTATCTTTGGTCTCTTTGTTGCCTCTGATTAATACCCTCCTTGCCTGGTCCGTGAGTTTTGGTGGGCGGCCCTCTCTTGGCACCTTTGTTGTGGTGCCATATTCTTTCAATTTTTTAATAATGGATTTAATGGTGCTCCGTGGGATGTTACATTTCAGATTTTTTTTTATAACCCAACCCTGATCTGTACTTCTCCACAACTTTGTCCCTGACCTGTTTGGAGAGCTCCTTGGTCTTCATGGTGCCGCTTGCTTGGTGGTGCCTCTTGCTTAGTGGTGTTGCAGACTCTGGGGCCTTTCAGAACAGGTGTATATATACTGAGATCATGTGACAGATCATGCGACTCTTAGATTGCACACAGGTGGACTTTATTTAACTAATTATGTGACTTCTGAAGGTAATTGGTTGCACCAGATCTTATTTAGGGGCTTCATAGCAAAAGGGGTGAATACATATGCACGCACCACTTTTCCGTTATTTTTGTAAAAAAAAAATTGGACTATTTTGTGTATGTCCATTGCATGAAATCCATATACAAATCCATTGAAATTACAGGTTGTAATGCAACAAAATAGGAAAAACGCCAAGGGGATGAATAATTTTGCAAGGCACTGTACATTTTACAGACACAGTATATTTTACATTTGTTATCTTCTTGTTATTAGTCCCACCCTTCAGCTCCATTCAACCCCTCCCATCTATCTCTTAACACCATCCATATTGGATTTCTATTTGCCATATATTTTTCAACTCTGCTGTGATCCTTCACAAAAGTTCTGAACCATTCTATTCTCATAGTTTTTACAGATTGTAAATTAAAGATAAAATGTTTTGCTAAAAGTATTATTATATTATTGATCGATTGACTATGACTTTTCAAATCACCCAGTATTGCTATCTGCAGCGTTAGCTCCTAGTAAATGTTGCAATTCTTCAGCCATTCCTGGACCTGTGACCAAAAACAAGCTACATATGGACAGTACCAAAATAAATGATCTAATGACTCTCTCTTCGCAGCAAAATCTGCAGAGCTGGGAAGGTTGTATCCCCCATATATATAACATTCTATTGGTTGCAAGAATTTTGTATAAGTTATGAATCCGGCGTCGTTTTGCGTGTCAGTTCATAAACCATGTGCCATGGAATCGGTACATAATCTCTTCCGAACTATTTTGCAATCTATATGGCACAGCTGTCAATTTTTTGGTCCTTAAATTAAACTGGTATATATTTTTATTCATCACCATTTTCTTTAACCAATTTTGGTCTTTAATGCAGGGCCAACAGACAAGTTCCTTACTTTTTCACCTTCCACTTGCCTCTTCCATTTTTGCGGTAATGCTGCAATTTGTTGGTTGTATTTTTGGGTAGGGCAGACGTTTCCATATATTTTTGTTAGCTGCATGTGTGACATAACTCCACCAGTCCTATTTATGATATAATTTAGAAATATATATATTTTTTTAATTAGCGAAGAATAATGTTTTTTTTAATCAATTAGTATATTTGAGTTAACCACAATATTTGTTGTATTATTTGTTCTGTCTTTTCTGGTGGATTAAACTGAAATTGCAACCAAATTTCTATGGCTTGTTTTAAAAATAGCGATATTTTGGAGAGGGTTGTAATCTGAATAAAATCACATTCTTACTAATTTTCTAGAGAACCAGTTCGGATTTAAGTATAACTTTTATATCACCTGACGCCTTTAGTGAGAGGTCTAATGCTTTAATATTTAATAATTTCTGCCTTCCGAATTCATATTCATTATATAAATAGTCCCTTTTCATTTTGTCTGGCTTGCCATTCAAAATAAAATGGAATCCTTTTTGCTCATATAATTTTAAAAAACAGGTCGCTAGGCGTAGGCAAGACTATAAGCAAATAGGTAAACTGGGATATAACTAAGGAGTTCATCAGAGTGATTTTTCCACAAATAGACATTGTTTCTTAACGTTCTTTGAACTATTTGAGAACATTACTTTAAACAGAACCCAGAGGTAACCTGGTGGAAATGTTATGTTGAAGTATTTAAATTCCCACAAGACAACATTGTTTCTTAACATTCTCTGAACCATTTGAGAACATTCCCAATGCCAAACCAGTTGGAGAACGTTCCTAGAACATTCCCAAACATTTTATTAAATGAAACCATGTTTGAACTTTTAGGAAACATTCTGTAAAGTAATGAAATACCAGGAAAATAATGTTATTTTGTCAAGTTTCTTAAATGTGCTGAGAATGTTCCAAAGCCAAGCAACTATACTGCACCATTCCCAGAACATTGTGGGAAGTTGTATGCAAAATAATCATAGGACAACCACGTTCTCACCAATCTGTAAGAAACATATGGTTCTCAGAACTTTATGTGCTAGCTGGGTTTGCTCTTCAATAGTTTCACTTTCATTTATACAGTAATATGATATAGTGTGCCATTGTGCCTGCATGTTAGTGTGTTTGAGTATGTTTCAGTATTTTTGTAAGATAGATAACATACATATTTAACCATAATTCAACATTAATTGGTGTGTACTTTTTTATGTTTATCTTGAACAGCAACTTGCAGGCAGGCTAAATGACCTAGTATGGGTTCCAGGAAATGCCTGTGAAATAAATACTCTCTTATAGTCGTTTCATAGTCCCAGTTTTCCATCACACTTCTGTTAGATAAGTGGCTACTTCAAATCAGACAGAGTGAAGTTCAACTTTGACCTAAATGCTTGACATTATGCCACTAAAAGGTTGCTCAAGTCCAAACAAAAAAGTGCATCAAATTACTGAGATAGCATTAAACTAATTATTACTGAGACTTTGTCTTCTGAGCCAAGACTTCTGTTCTCAGGTCAATATTTTAGACTGCAGTCTTATTTTTTTATTGTATTCACACCTTCCTTTGGTGAATGTACCCCAAAGTGTCTGGAAAGCTGAACTGGCTGTCTAGCAACTGTTGTCCAGGACATTCCCGTCTACAGTGTGTTGGGGGCAGAGAAAAGGGGAGGGTTGTTGACCAGATGTAGTGAAGAGAGGAATCTGACTTACTTAAGAGCTGTAAAGCTGTTGATGTAGGTTATCTGATAGTCAGCCCAAAGTGAAGGGTTTTCCACACTGTTACAGCAGTACCTAAATTCGGTCTCAAATCTATGTAGATGTAGAGAGAGTGAAGGAGAGATAATGCCATGGAGTTATTAACAAGCAAAGGACAAGGTCTAGTTTTATGTTTCCAGTGAATAATGGTTAGGATAGAGATAGAAAGAGCAGACTCTGGACTGTTGCAGAGCATACCGCTTGGGAAACAGCTGTAACTCTTCTAGGCAGGAACAGACTACTCTCATCTCCAGGTTTGCATCAATCCTCTTGGAGTTTACAGCATTGCTCTTAACTTTCTACACAGAAAACAACAACAGTTTCAAGTCTTACATAGTAATAGTAGCCTTAGTAGCCTGTCACTACAATGAAAATGTAACTAAGTAGGCAATGTTGCTCTCTAATGGAGATATGATGCTATTGCATTATATGAAATCATGACAAAACAATACCGTCCAGATATCCATGTGTATGTCAGAGTTAAAGAAGTGTTCATCATCAGTCTCTGGTGTCTGTTTCTTTATCCACATGTCCTCGTTTTCAAGCTCTAATATTTTCTCCAGCGAAGCTTTCATGTCCTCCTGGAAAAGGCATGGAAAGCAAAAGAATAAAGGCTAAAGGACTCTGATGAGCAAAATATAACATTAAAAAAAGAAAAACTCTTCAAGTGTGGTACCTGCTTTCAACCTGAATTCTTCCAAAACATCTATCCATCTGTCTCTTAGTGGAGTGTTCAATCCCTCACCTTTGCCTGCATGCAGAATTTCCCCTTGAGCTGGTCCAGGAAGCCCTCTTCCAGGGAGAGGCCTTTGTTCTCAGCCTCCATCTCTGGTCTCAATGAAGGACTGCTCATTATCTTCTCACTGTTCAACAGGGATGGTGTCTCTCAGATACAATACTACTCATCATCTTGAGTCATATTTTTAAAAAAAATACTTATTATTCAAGACAATGACTTTAAGTCTTCCTCACCTCTCATAGTGATTGATGATCCAGTCCAGCAGGGCGTAGTAGTCCTTCAGATCTGTCACCTGCTGCTGAAGCGTCTTCAGGTGCTGGCTGACAGCACCATGGTAACAGCTCACATAGGTGCTGAACACATTGAAGCTGGGTGGGTAAGAGCCTTGCAGCTCTCCCTTCACCTTCTCCAAGTCCTCTACGATGGCCTTGCCCAGCAGACCCAGGTGGATAGCCAGCCAGGAGGCATTCTGCTCGGGCCTGTCCAAGTGAACACTCTTCAGCGTAGCCTGTACACCCTCGCTCACAGCCTCTCTCCAGGCCCCCCGCCAACCCCCAGGCCCAACCACGCCCCCGGCCCCAGGCTCTGCCTCCCTCTTCTCCTCCTCCTGGATGACGCGGGCCACATGCACCAGGAGCTCCTTGTTGCGAGAGGTAAAGGAGTTGGAGTCCCGCACTATTTCCTTCACCTTGTCCCGCAGGGCACTGTAAAGGAGCTTCAGGTCCTTCTCCTTCTTGGCCAGCTCCATAGAGGAGGCCTCCTCCGTGCACTCCTCCCTCTCCCGCTGGAACTCCTGGCACAGGGAGAGGAGGTTCAGATAGGCCTCCTCCAGCACCTCCATCCCAATCAGCTTATTGATCTGCATCACTGGAGGGTAAGAGCAAACAGAGTAAAGGCCTTAATGCATAGAAGCTTATGCTGTTATACCTAATACACACATACAGCACAGACACAGACACAACCATAGTGATTTACATCACAAATAATATCTCTTGTGATCTCTGTTGCTAAAACAAAGAAAAATTGAGGATGAGGATGAGGGAGAGAGAGAGACAGAGACAAAGACAGAGAGAGAGAGCGAACCTCACCTGAGAGGGGTGTGAGGGGTATTTCTGGGAGTATGTATGACTCTTTTATCTCTACCCTCTCCTTCTCCCTCTCTCTCTTCTCCTCCAGAGTGATCTCAGTGACAGGCTGGAGCTGCTCCTGTTTGAGGGTCTTGTCCTTCTTAAGTCGCAAACTCCGTCGGATGGAAGCCCCCTTCTTTAGAAGAGAGTCCCCAATGCCCGATGCGTCTATAGATGGACAATACAGATAACAGATTACGAAGACCTTACAAAGACTCAGAATATCCCAATGAGCTTTCTAGAATTCTCTCAGCAAAATATATGTATTTGTGCTTGTCTTTGAACAGTATTTATGCCTACTGCAAACTGCCTCTAAGAACAACCATTGACTGAACAAGCTCTGGTTGGTTGGGTAAACAGTGGTGTACCTGAGCGTGTTCTGGAGTGCTTTTTCTGGAGTGAATCTTCTGCACTCTCTCCTCCCTCCTCCCTCTGGAAGGACCCACCTAGACCCTTCAGGGGAGAGGCCGTAGGAGACCCAGCACTCAAACCTGAGCAAGAGAGAGAGAAAGTTGCTGATCTCTTTGACATTGAATACTGGTAGTAATTAAACTACTTTGCAGTGTAATAGTAGGTGTGCTGACCGAACACACACAAACAAACACACGGACAGTCGCACAGTCACACAGACAAACACAAACACACATACGCATACGTACACACAGAAGAAGTCACACAACCTTGACAACTGGTTAAGCAGCTTCTGTCAGATTTGTTATTGTACAAAGGTTAATTATGTTAGTGTATAGCCTGCATGGTTGGGAGCTGTTTCCGAGTTTAGTATAAACTTCATTAAGATAGGAATGTCAGTAATTGAGTAATGATGAAAGCCTCCTGCTCAGACTGGCTCATGTCCAGCTGAAAATAAATGCAAGTCCCCAATACAGTGCATAAGAGAGTCCTTCCTGCCATTTCTACTGTTATTCTGTGTCTCCTGAGACATCCTCTTCCCATGACCTTGGGAAGCCATTTCCTGACTCAAGAGCATATTTAGATAACTCACTTCATTTGTCAGAGGGACAAACCTGAGGAGAACTTACATGGTGAGGGAGGGGGTGGCAGCTGATGGGTTGGAGAGGTCACTTCAGGGTCAATACCGTGTCCCCCCTGGTCTGAATTGGATCTGTCCTTTGACCCTTTGCTGTTTGAGGCTAGAGGACTCCTCTCTCCAACCCGCTTGATGCTCTCCCTGAATTGCTTAATCATCCCCAGTTTCTTCTCCTTCACCAGGCCGTCGGGTTGTGTCTTCCCATTCCTCTCCATGGTGGATTTGAGGGAGGATCCGTCCCCCTCTAGACCCTGAGCTTCATTCACCTCCTCCATGTCCCCAGGTTCCCCAATCTCTGCCATCTGATTTCTGCTTGGCATCGAATGTCCCTGGTTACTCAGATAAAATAAAATTGGAGGGGAAAGATAAAAAATGTTCCTAGAAAATCAACTGCTTGTGTCAGGAAAGGAGGTGTCTGTGGAATGTGTTGTTAAAAGTGCCTTTAACTTTTGGTGCCGGTCACAGCAGTCAGCAGGAACAGGAGTAAAGCTTATGTTTACAGCCAACATGACATTTTCTCTGCAAGGTAAGGGGGAAAGGGTGTGCCATCATGGTAACCAACCCAACCTGGCAAAGTACCTCAAGTTGAAAATAAGGGTAGCATTCCTATATGCATACGAATCATACTATGGATACATTGCGTATAACCTGTTATTACCATGAGTCACTGATAAGAATGGATTTTCCACTTCTGACGTGAATTTGTAAGAGAGGTACAGATGTAGGATCTTAATTTGATCACCCTGTTGCAGGAGAACTTTCCTGCAATGCAGGAAATGTAAAATGTGTAGTGTATTTTAGTTTTAAAAGGCTTCTGAAGTTTGTAATTTCCATTTTGACATTTCAGACTTAATTTTCCCTTACGGAAATTATAATTTAATTATAATCCACATAATAATTCACATTTCCTGTACCTGCAGGATTATTTTCCTGCTGTAGCAAACTGGTTCAAATTAAGTTTCTACATCTGTAACCTGAGAATCAAAACCTAAAAAACTACCTGTTAACCTGTGAGAGGGACCTAGCTTTTGGGTCCAGTGGCTGTTTGGCTTTGAAGGACTGAGTACAGACAACCAGGGTTGGATTCCAGTTTGTTTACAGTAAAATAACATTGTTATTGGTATGCACTGGTCCGAGGACCTGTAACAGAAACAGGAAGGTGCTGTCCAGAGGAGGAAGTATGTGACAGATAGTGTGACAGGGCCAAAGAACAATCAAATGAGGCAGCAGGCATTGGTTCATTAGAAAATCACAGGAAGGCCTACTCCCTCTCTATTATGATTTATTTGTCTGTAAACAGTAGACACATGTAAATGTATGTATAAAATGATGCTGTAATGGTAATCATTGAATATTTTCAGTACCACCTAATTGATTTGGCTTTTGAATATTCATAACAAACTAATTAATAAACATCCTTACATTTCCAGGCGAGAGAGCCTATTTGTTGATATTTGCAGTAACATGCTCAAATTGCCTGTATTTTTTTTTTAAAGAGCAGTTAACTTTATTTTTCAACTATGTCTCTGCATAGCCCTATATATCACAATTTTCAGAGCAATACTTAGCATGCAGAGGCTAAACAGTTCAATTGCATGACAAATGCACGATGACGCATGAAGCTTGTCTGTAACAACAATCTGCCATAGCATAATCCTCTGGTCTTATTTTAGACATATAGACAGACACATTTTGCTCACAAGAATATACCCTTTCAAGATTTCAAAAGACACCACAAGATTTCAGGTAATACAGCCTCACTCACCTGAGCAACTCTACTGTCTGGAGCAGTGAGTAGCCTACCAGTCCAGGGGTTTTCTCATGGGTTTACAACTGTTTTCACTTTCATGTTCACCTCGCCAGGTATCTAGAGAGCAATCATGTGGTCGTGAGACAACCTGCGCGGGGTTGGAACTGAGACGAGTGCAAGAAACATGAAAAATGAAACCCATTTTAGGCAGCGTGCCAAGCAGCATGACATAAGCAAAAATCACCTTGTGAGTCAGACACTTGAGCGGTTTATTGTTGGAAAATAAGTTAATCATTACACTGTATTTGTTGGAGTAAATTCAATATTTGTTGTAGGCCTATGTCCATTGCAAATAAAATGACACCGATGCTTATAAACCGGACTGCACTACTTTCAGTCATAGTTTTGAGACATTCCAACGTCTACACCACGCAAAATAGGCTACAGGTCTATCTCTAAATAGAAAATTGCAATTGGCTCAGAACAGGGCAGCACGGCTGGCCCTTGGATGTACACAGAGAGCTAACATTAATAATATGCATGTCAATCTCTCCTGGCTTAAAGTGGAGGAGAGATTGACTTCATCACTACTTGTATTTGTGAGAGGTATTGACATGTTGAAGGAACACCCATGCATACCCCACAAGACATGCCACGAGAGGTCTCTTCACAGTCCCAAAGTCCAGAACAGACTATGGGAGGCGCACAGTACTACATAGAGCCATGACTACATGGAACTGTATTCCACATCAAGTAACTCATGCCAGCAGTAAAGTTAGATTTAAAAAACAGATAAAAATACACCTTATGGAACAGCGGGGACTGTGAAGCAACACATGCATACAAACACACGATAACATACGCACTATACACACATGTACACATGGATTTTGTGTTATAGATATGTGGTAGTAGAGTAGAGGCCTGAGGGCACACACTTAATATGTTGTGAAATCTGTTATGAATGTATTGTAATGTTTTTAAAATGTATAACTGCCTTAATTTTGCTGGACCCAAGGAAGAGTAACTGCTGCCTTGGCAGCAGCTAATGGGGATCCATAAAAAATACAAATACAAGTAAATAGCAAAACAATGCTCAGAAAAGAGAACTAGTCAAGGAAAATGCGGCTGTCATTCCTGTTGCTTGTCACTGGAGGGCGACTGTAGACAATATTTAGACGTTCCCCAATGACCACCTGTCAATTAGGCCTACTTGTTTGTTGATCTCATCAAGGCTGGAAATTACAGTATATATGGTATCATTTGTTGCTGACCTTAACGCTCAGGGGTGACAACTATTTAGCTTACTTTAGGTGGAATTCTCCTAATAACTGTTTGACAGCTTTCTATAGTTGGCCCTATAGCAGGGATCATCAACTAGATTTTCTTGAGTGGATTGTCAGGGGGCCGGACCATAATTACAAATAATTTGTAGACTGCAAATTGATGCGTTCAATTTGCAGTCTACAAATTATTTGTAATTAAAAGGGCAAAGGGGGGACCAACTACATATTAATGCCCATGATTTTGGAATGTGATGTTTGACAAGCAGGTGTCCACATACTTTTGGCCATGTAGTGTATATTTTCATATCATATGTTATCATAAGCTATATGATAGTCACTCTCCCATATGGATACATAATGGGAAAAATCCTTGATTGTGGGCAAAAGTTTTTCTCCTACAGCCAAGGACATGTCAGGATATAAGAACTCCTCTATACATTACATTTCCGGCCAAGATGTGGAGTCAACAACTGTGTGTTCGTGGACATACAATGTTGTCACTCAACTGTGTGTGTGTGTGTGTGTGTGTGTGTGTGTGAGAGAGAGAGAGAGAGAGAGAGAGAGAGAGAGAGAGAGAGAGAGAGAGAGAGAGAGAGAGAGAGAGAGAGAGAGAGAGAGAGAGAGAGAGAGAGAGAGAGAGAGAGAGAGGATTACACTGATCCGAAGCACTGTTCTTGAGGTTGGATTCAGCGTCAACAGCTTAACATAACTCATGGAATCACAGACTAACACTCTCCCATCTTCTCACTCATGCCTAAAACTTCCATAAGCTTTTTATTACAGTTAGCTGGGCTGGAGCACAGAATGCCCCTTGGTAGGAACCATTTTGGTGTGTTTCCCTTTCTCTATAGATGGCTATAACAGTAATATAAGGAGATTATACTACATCATATGCATTTTCACTTAGTAATTTTTAGGTCTCATATGTTTTGTTAAGGGGATATAATTTACTGATTTCAGGCAGATGTGCTATTATTAGACTTACAAATGACCAAACCCGGTCTCAGGCTTGGATAACACTGGAGGCCCCTTCGGTCTCTACAGAGTTGGGTAAAGCTGCTGTAAGTTCTTTTGCGCCCTTCATGTGGAACAACTTATAGAGCTCTCTAAAATGAGATGTTCTGGTCCCTCTTGGTCAGTTCATAGTAACAATCGGAGACCTTTATGTTGATAAATGTGTCTGTTTTTCTTAATATGCTTTGTAATTTTGTATATACAGTGCCTTCGGGAAAGTATTCAGACCCTTTTACTTTTTCCACATTTTGTTACGTTACAGCCTTATTCTAAAATGGATTAAAGAAATACAAAATCTCAGCAATCTACACACAATAACCCATAATGACAACGAAAAACAGGGTTTTTGACATTTTTGCTAATTTATTAAAAATAAAACACAGAAATATTCAGACCCTTTGCTATGAGACTCGAAATTGATCTCAGGTGCATCCTGTTTCCATTAATCATCCTTGAGATGTTTCTACAACTTGATTGGAGTCCACCTGTGGTCAATTGAATTGATTGGACATGATTTGGAAAGGCACACACCTGTCTATGTAGGGTCCCACAGTTGACACTGCATGTCAGAGCAAAAACCAAGCCATGAGGTCGAAGGAATTGTCTGTAGTGCTCCGAGACAGGATTGTGCCGAGGCACAGATCTGGGGGAAGGGTACCAAAACATTTCTGCAGCATTGAAGGTCCCCAAGACCACAGTGGCCTCCATCATCCTTAAATGGAAGAAGTTTGGAACCACCAAGACTCTTCCTAGAGCTGGCCACTCGGCCAAACTGAGCAATCGGGGGAGAAGGGCCTTGGTCAGGGAGGTGACCAAGAACCCGATGGTCACATCTCTGCAACACTCCACCAATCAGGCCTTTATGGTAGAGTGGCCAGACTGAAGCCACTTCTCAGTAAAAGGCACATGACAGCCCGCTTGGAGTTTGCCAAAAGGCACCTAAAGAAACAAGATTCTCTGGTCTGATGAAACCAAGATTGAACTCTTTGGCCTGAATGCTACGCGTCACGTCTGGAAGAAACCTGGCACCATCCCTACGGTGAAGCATGGTGATGGCAGCATCATGCTGTGGGGATGTTTTTCAGCGGCAGGCACTGGGAGACTAGTCAGGATCAAGGCAAAGATGAACGGAACAAAGTACAGAGAGATCCTTGAGGAAAACCTGCTCCAGAGCGCTCAGGGCCTCAGACTGGGGCGAAGTTTCACCTTCCAACAGGACGGTGACCCTAAGCACACAGCCAAGACAACGCAGGAGTGGCTTTGGGACAAGTTTCTGAAGGTCCTTGAGTGGCCCAGCCAGAGCCCGGACTTGAACGCGATCGAACATCTCTGGAGAGACCGGAAAATAGCTGGGCAGCGACTCTCCCCATCCAACCTGACAGAGCTTGAGAGGATCTGCAGAGAAGAATGTGAGAAACTCCCCAAATTGTATTTTTATTTTTATTTCACCTTTATTTAACCAGGTAAGCCAGTTGAGAACAAGTTCTCATTTACAACTGCGACCTGGCCAAAATAAAGCAAAGCAGTGCGATAAAAACAACAACACAGAGTTACATATGGGGTAAACAAAACATAAAGGCAAAAATACAACAGAAAAATATATATACAGTGTGTGCGAATGTAGTAAGTTATGGAGGTAAGGCAATAAATACGCCATAGTGCAAAATAGTTACCATTTCGTATTAACACTGGAATGATAGATGTGGAAAAGATGATGTGCAAATATAGATACTGGGGTGCAAATTAGCAAAATAAATAACAATATGGGGATGAGGTAGTTTGGTGGGCTAATTTCAGAATGGCTGTGTAAAGGTGCAGTGATCAGTAAGCTGCTCTGACAACTGACGCTTAAAGTTAGTGAGGGAGATAAGAGTCTCCAGCTTCAGAGATTTTTGCAGTTCATTCCAGTCATTGGCAGCAGAGAACTGGAAGGAATGGCGGCCAAAGGAGGTGTTGGCTTTGGGGATGACTAGGGAGATATACCTGCTGGAGCGCAGACTACGGGTGGGTGTTGCTATGGTGACCAGTGAGCTAAGATAAGACAGGGATTTGCCTAGCAGTGATTTATAGATGACCTGGAGCTAGTGGGTTTGGCGACGAATATGTAGTGAGGGCCAGCCAACAAGAGCGTACAGGTCACAGTGGTGGGTAGTATATGGGGCTTTGGTGACAAAACGGATGACACTGTGATAGACTACATCCAATTTGCTGAGTAGAGTGTTGGAGGCTATTTTGTAAATGACATCGCCGAAGTCAAGAATCGGTAGGATAGTCAGTTTTACGAGGGCATGTTTGGCAGCATGAGTGAAGGAGGCTTTATTGCGAAATAGTCTCCTGAGTGGCGCAGTGGTCTAAGGCACTGCATCGCAGTGCTAGCTGTGCCACTAGAGATCCTGGTTCAAATCCAGGCTCTGTCGCAGCCGGCCGCGACCGGGAGACTCATGGGCGGCGCACAATTGGCCTAGTGTTGTCCAGGGTAGGGGAGGGAATGGCCGGCAGGGATGTAGCTCAGTTGATAGAGCATGGCGTTTGCAATGCCAGGGTTGTGGGTTCGATTCCCACAGGGGACCAGTATGAAAAAAAAAATTACAAAAAAATATATGTATTCACTAACTGTAAGTCGCTCTGGATAAGAGTGTCTGCTAAATGACTAAAATGTAAATGAAATAGGAAGCCGATTCTAGATCTAACTTTTTATTGGAGATGCTTAATATGAGTCTGGAAGGAGAGTTTACAGTCTAACCAGACACCTAGGTATTTGTAGTTATCCACATACTCTAGGTCAGACCCGCCGAGAGTAGTGATTCTAGTCGGGTGGGCGGGTGCAAGAAGCGTTCGGTTGAAGAGTATGCATTTAGTTTTACTAGTGTTTAAGAGCAGTTGGAGGCTACGGAAGGAGTGTTGTATG